GGCAAGGCTGCGAGCTCAAAACGTGTCGACGTGGGGGGAAAGGGGGGGGATTTGTGGGTTCAAGCCCCCCCCCCGGCCCCCCACCGACTGAGCCAGGCTGACGCCACGAGCAACACAGCAATCCAGCACAGCAAATGCAAATGCCGAGCGTGAAGCGGCGAAGGTTTAAGCTGATGTATTAGGTCGCGAAGGTACGTGAATAGCAGTCGGTGGGGGGGGGGGGGGACGGCTATGAGCAATGTCAAGAGAGATGGAGATAGACTGTCTCTCCCCTTCTCTCTTCCCCACTGCAGTTTTCTCGAAGTGACATTAATCCGGTGAGTGTCACTCACACCAGAGCCTCTGTGGGGGACTGAGTTTTATTTATTATCGGGAATCCTAAGACCCTTCATGGACCATTCTTCTGTTTGACAGGAGCTGTGCAGAGAGAGAGGAAGCAGATGGACCATTAACGTTGAATTGCTCTCATTTTTATTCAGAACGAAGCTTTTTTTTTCTCGAGAGAGAGAGGGAGAGGGAGAGGAGAGAGAGAGAGAGAGAGAAGTGTGGGGGTGGTGGGGCGGGGGTTCGTCGGGTAAGGCTTTACCTGTGGCCGGTCTGGATGATCAGCGAGAGCTGTAAGGAAGTAGCTGACCGTGTTTGCCTACAAATACACAGCCACTCCACTCATCATCATCATCATCATCATAATAATAATAATAATCCTTGCATTTGATACAGCGTCTTATCACGTCTCCGAGACGTCTCAAAGCGCTTCACAAGGACTATGCTGTAAAAAGGTAGAGTGACTGTGTGTTTTGCGGGCGAAACGCGGCAGCCGCTCGCGCACAGGGGGGGGGGCGTCCCCACAAACAGCCGTGGAACGAGCGGCCGAAATAAAAGACCTCTCGCGGACCAACGAAGTGGCGCAACAGGCTCAAGGGGGCCGACAATTTAATCCTCCTGGTGTTGCACGAGGATAGCCCCGCCATTGTAGGAATAATAATAATAATAATAATAATAATAATAATCCTTGCATTTGATATCCTTTGCACGTGTTCCAGGGGATCGTTAACGTCCACCCGAACGGGACCTGGAGCATCCGCTGGAAACCTCGACTCAGGGGCTTGAACCCACAACCTTCATCGCCTCGGGGGACGGCGGTGCCGGGCTGACGCTGATAAGACGGCCGCGGCGCCGCACAGCAAAGCCTTGCGATATTTACTTCCTATTTCCCGAGTGGGATTCCTTAATTAAGGAATAAAAAGGCACGGGTGAATTAGTCGAGTCACACTTACCAAAAGCGTTCTTACCTTAACTGAGCGGGTGATGTTAATTAATTAGATCCCCCCCTCCTGCTGGGACTCCGGTTAGGTTCGCTTTCTGTCAGTCCCTCAACTAATATACCTACTAAAGAATTCCGCGGCTTCTTACGGTCCCATTTGTCCCCCTGTCAAGTCCTCCCATTAATAGGTTCCTTCGGTAATTTGGTTCAGTCTATGGCTTCTGGGTCTTATTAATGAACTGATGTGCCTCCATGACCGTAACTCCATGTTCCCTGTCTCTCTTTAATCACTTTCGCAGCTCCTCTGCGCTCGACCGTAGGGCCTTTCACGGCGGCCTGACATTTCAAAGTGCTTCGCGAGGAGGTTGCCCTGAAGCGTAGTGACTGTGCGTTTTGTGGGTTCGGGGCAGCAACTAATTAGCGCGCAGTAATGACTCACTCGCACGCAGCTGTGAAGTCAGCGACCGGTTTTATCTGGGGGATTGTTGGCCAGGACACCGGAAGAGAGAGAGAGGGAGAGAGAAAAACTCTTTTCGAAGAGCTTTAACGGGATCTTTAACGTTCAGTTGAACGGAGAACACCCAAACCAAAAGGACGGCACCTCCAACACTGCGGTACTCCCTCCAGCACTGCACTGGAGTGTTAGCCTGGACTGTGCCGGCCCATAAATACTTAAAACTGTACCTTAATGGTCAGAGCATTAGCCCAGAGAACCCGGGTTTGAGCCCCGGGTGGTAATTCCTTATTCTGGGGGTCTCTGTTTAGGAAGGAAGCGGGAAGCGGGAACCCCGGTTGTTCGTCGGTCGGTGGATCGCTTTGCGGAGGGTAATAACCCCTTTCTTAAAAAGAAACTCATGATAATTTGGTCACTCGACCCACGACTGTTTGTGGGACGCCGCCGTGCGCAATTAGCTGCCGCGATTCACCCACGAACCGCGCACAGTCACTCCGCTTTTCGGTGTATGCACCGTGAGGCGCTTTGAGACGCCTCAAAGACGTGATAAAAGGCGCCGTGTCAAACGAAAGGATTATTATTATTATTGTTGTTATTATTTTGATAAGCCTCGAGTGGGGTTTTAATGCCGTCTTGATTTCCGTCCAACCTAACAATTGGCTTAATTTATGTCTGTATCAGTTTATTGTGCAGTGAAGCACTGAAGTGGTGAAATTGCACGTGAAATTGATGTTGTAATTACACGCGCAAGGCTGGCTGTGGTGATTTATTTGCTGTGTGTAGTGGGGTGAGAGGGGAAGTGCCCAACTGGGACACAACGCTATCCTGCTTCAAGGCCACTTCCCCGAATGCCCAAGTCAATCACATCACCGTCAACACCGGGGCTCGTTTGTCAAACGCTCTGGGACGTTACGCTGCCTAAAGGGACGCTGCACAAACGCAAGCTGCGGCGTAGCGGGGGGGGGTAGAGCGCTCGGCTCGCGATCCGGTTCGATCCCCGGACGGCACAGGGCAAGCGCTTAGGCAAGTTTCCTTACCCCACACGCGCGCGCACGCACTCACACGCACGCGCCTCTGTTTAGTCAGCAGTAATTGTTAAGTCAATTGGCGGATCGCTTTCCCGGGGGTTATAAACTCTCCCCCAAATCGGTCATTCAATCCACCACTGTTTGTGGGGACGCTGCTGCCTCGGTTTGCCCACAGAATACACGGCCAATTCGCTGGACAGCGTATCCCGTGAAGCGCCTTGAGACGTCTCGTCGACGTGATGTGAGGCGCCGTATCGAATGCGAGGGTTGTTATTGCGATTACGTATTCGGGTGAACGAAAAGGAAAAGGCTTTTCGCGCTGCAACCGGAGCTCCGAATCACATGGAAACCGCACATCAAACGCACCGGGGAAGCAATGAGCGTGCAAGTCCTCAAGGGAAGATAAGGGATGCCTATTGAGGGGATGGAGAAAATTAGCAATATAATTGGGATGTAAAGACACATTGCATAATTAGTAATTAATTGCCTCGTTGGTCTTTATCTCCCCCACCCGCACTGTGAATTTGCCACCGATCCGAGCTTTATTATGTCCCTTTCTAATGAGAAACGCCCTCGGCGCTCAATCCTGTTCATTTCTTTATTGCTCAATTGTTCCGGCGCTTCTGTTGGTCGGACCTTTGACACCGAAACCCGCTCTGGCGACTGAGGCAGCGCTGGGGAACAAAGACAGTGAGACGTGGGAGGACATTCGGGTCGGCATTCAACGACAGCAACACAGTGCCCTTCACGAAGGAGTATAGAGTCCCAGAGCGCTCGACAGTGGAGGAGTCTGACCCCCGAGTCAGGGTGGGGAGAAGGAGGAGGGGGGGTGGGTGGGGGGTGACCGTAAGCCCGATCAAAAAAGGAAGGTCTTTAGGTGGGGAGGGGGCAAAGCGGAGGGATTGAGGGAGAGCGTTCCAGAGTTTCGGGGCGCAGTGGCCAAATACACGGCCACCGATAGTGGAGCGGAGAGGGGGACGGGGGGGGGCGAGGGACGAACGGGAGACCGGAGGAGGAATCCGAACGGATTGTTAACAATTGTTATTATTATTTATTAATCGCAAATCATCCCCCGTCACGCGCCCAACAACCACCACATCCTGCAACAGAAGAAGTGGAGGGTTTCATACATGTTTAATCACGGTTGAGACGGCTCAAGGGGGAAGGAGGGAAGGAGAGAGGGAGGGAGGGAGGGAGGGAGGGGGAAACATGCAATGCTTTTTTCTCATTAAAAACACGCACACGGTGGCAAATAAGGCTTTGCGACATGTTGCATAATACTGCCACCTGCTGCCACCAAAAAATAATAATCCTTCCATTTGATTGCCATCCAATCTAACATTTTGGCTTAACTTGGGCCGCCCTATAGCACCTGATCAAGACGTCCCAAAGCGCTTCGCAGCACACAGTGTAAAGCGCGGTGACCGTACATGTCGCGGGCGAAACGCGGCAGCCCTCACCCTAACCCAGTTGCGGACGGCGGTGAGACCCACGAGCAGTCGTGGATTGAAGTGACCGTTCAAATTATCTTTTTTTAAGGGATTGTTACCCCGGGCAAACGATCCCGACAGCCAACCATCCGCCAATCGACTAATAACCGGGTTCCTATCACCGTTAGGTAAACAGAGGCGTGTGCGTGTGCGTGTGGGGAGGGAGGAATAGATCAAACGATGTTTAAAATAAGTCATTTTATTTATTTGTTTGTTTATTTGTTTGTTTACTTGTTTGTTTATTTGCTTGTTTTACGGGTGGAGACGTCAAACCGAGGTCCCGTCGCTGTGTCGCTGTGTCGCTGTGTCGCTGTGACTGTCCGGGTTGGACGTTGAAAGGATTATTTGACGACAAACGGTTTCAAACGTTTAAAAAAGTTTCTTTAAAAGTTTATGACTTTACATAAAAGTTAAATGAATGATTGACAGGTGGGTGGGGTTTGGGGAGAGGGGGGCGTGTCAGTCACGTTGATTGACAGGCGCGGAGGAGGGGGCGTGTCAGTCACGTTGATTGGCAGGTGGGGAGGAGGGGGCGTGTCAGTCACGTTGATTGGCAGGCGGGGAAGAGGGGGGCGTGTCAGTCACGTTGATTGGCAGGTGGAGAGGAGGGGGCGTGACAGTCATGTTGATTGGCAGGTGGGGAGGAGGGGGGCGTGTCAGTCACGTTGATTGGCAGGCGGGGAGGAGGGAGGCGTGTCGGAGGGGGCAGAGCTGACGGTGTGCGCACGCGCGGTCTGGGATCTCGCGATGCTTCGTCTGGCCCCGCCCCCTGCCGCCCCTGCCCGAGACCCGGGGCGGCGGTTGGTGCTGAGGCGGGAAGCGGCGACGGTTCGGCGGCTCCGCTTTCACTGCGCGGTTACCGTTACCTTTCGCTGCGGCGAGTTGTCACTGGGTAGGAGCCATTTTTTTTTTGTCATCGCCAAACCACCACCGCCACCCCTTTCCTTCCCCGGACTGCGACCCCCGCCGGTCGCGCTTTAATTTGCGTCGCTTGTCCCGCCTCCACCCCGGCGCGCCCATTGGCTGTGTCCGCGCCGTCCCTTCACGGCAACGCTCTGATTCGCCGACGCGCCTGTCCGTCAAGTGTCAAGGCACTGCCTTAAAGGGATGGCGGCCTTTTTGATCCACAACTACTGACACACACACACACATATAAACATACACACAATCATACACACACATAAACATACACACAATCATACACACACATATAAACATACACACAAACAATCATACACACACAAACATACACACACAATCATACACACACATATAAACATACACACACACATACATACATACACACACATATATAAACACACACATAATCATACACACACACATATAAACACATACAGACATACTTACAGACACGTACATATAGACAGACGTACACACATATACACACACACATACAGACAGACCCACACACACACACAGACATACAGAGGGATAGCTCACTCACCTCCCCCACCACTGTTAGCTGCCCCCCCAATCCCTTGCCCTTTATACCCCCCCACCCCACCCCACCGCTACACGCGCACATGGTTGACACGTGAAGACCGAGGTCCCATCTGTGCCCGTTCAGGAAGATGTTAAAGAACCTCTATCTACCGCAGGCAGACGGGCAGCGACAGCAGGACCACGCATGGCGGACTGGCAGTCCCACTACCCTAACGATGATGGGGAGAATCCCGAAGAGGATGAGGAGAACGAAGGTAGAGCGGTCCGTGCTGGGTTTAATCTTTGTGTATAAGGGACCCGTCTCAAGAACCTCCTCTTCCACCGTGCCTTCGGTCACCCTCTTACCCCCTGGCCTTCCCGCCCTCCTGAACCCAACCACCGGCTCAGATGAGGATCCCTGACTGTCCAGCAGCCTGGGACTTCCTCCTGACGTGAAAGGCGCTGTACAAATGTAATTTGTTGTTGTTGTTGTGCAATTCAATGGCCTTTTGCACTCAACTGTCTCCTGTGGCTTGAGAGATGTCAGCTGACATTTACAGACTGGTTCGTTTCGTTTCAGTGGAGACTAAGTATGCTGGGAGGGACAGCTTAATATTCCTGGTCGATGCCTCGGAAGCCATGTTTGCAGCTGATGGCAATGACATTTCGCCATTTGAAATGACGATTCAGGTAAGAGGATTGCGTGTGACACATGGTAGATATGCTGGAACAGGAACACGCGCACACTCTCTTCTTTTAAAAGCTACTAGATAATGGGGAAGATAATATTACTACCCACCCTCACACGCGCGTAATATTTTCATCCCAGCTCGTGTGCCCAGCCAGTACTATCAAAACTCCTTGTTAAGGAGTTTGGCTTATGGAATAAGGTTATCTCCAGGGCTTTGTGAATATCGGCCAGCCCGAGCCAGCATAATGAATGCTGGTCCTACCTTTGAGGGAGCAGAGTAGGAGGCATTAGTATTAAACTAAAAGGTATTCGGGAGCTCAGAGTAATGTGAGATGCTTTGAGGTCAGTCGGTGGATTATTTTATTTAACTGCGGTGTTGATTTGCAGTGTATTCGCAGTGTTTACACCAGTAAGATTATCAGCAGTGACCGGGATCTCCTGGCTGTGGTTTTCTTCGGGACTGGGACACACAAGAACTCCGGCGATTTCAAGCATATTTATGTGCTCCATGATCTGGACACTCCAGGCAAGTCTGATCACTAGGTCTAGTGAAGAACTGCCTCAACCGCATGTCTGTGTTTAGTTTGTGTTAAGTGTGTGTGTGTGAATGCAATTGTATGTGAATATTTTTGCACCCGCATGTGTGTGTATGTGTCCGTGTTTGTGTCAATGCAAGCACGTGACATGATACCTCATAAAATTTGGGACGTGATGTGTGAATGCGACTGACAGGATGGTGGAAAGTCAACCGGGATAATTAAAAACACAAATTATTATTATTATCGGTCATTTAATTTTTTTCAAGCTGCATTTTCCATAAGAGAATAACCAAATCACCAAAATAATAATAATAAAATTGGTCACTTCAAACCACGACTGTTCGTGGGACACCTCCGTGCGGAATTGGCTGTCGCGTTTCGCCCACAAAATATACAGTCAATTCACTTGACCGTGTGTCCTGCGAAGCGCTTTGAGACGTCTCGAAGACGTGATAAGGCGCTGTATCGAATGCCAGGATTATTATTATTAAAAATGCGACGAGTGTCTCTCCGTCTCCTCCAGGCGCGAAGCGAGTGCTGGAACTGGACAAGTACAAAGAGGAGACCGGGCGGAGGCATTTCAGGGAGGAGCTGGGACAGAGCTCTGACGTCTCGCTGGGTGAAGCTCTGTGGGTTTGCTCCAACCTCTTCAGCGACGTCAAGCTCAAGCTGAGCCACAAGCGGGTCATGCTGTTCACCAACAACGACGACCCCCACGCCAACGACAGCGCCAAGGCCCGCACCGCCCGTACCAAGGCTTCGGACCTCCAAGAGACGGGTACGTGGGCAAGGGAGGGGGGGCAGAGAGGGCAGGGGAGAGGGGGCAGGGGAGACGAAGGGCAGAGATGGCAGGAGACGGGGCGCAGAGAGGTCAGGGTTGGGGGTTAGAGAGGTCAGGGGAGGGGGAACAGAGAGGCGGGAGGGGGCAAAGAGGGCAGGGGAGGGAGTGGGGAGGGCAGGATAGTGGGGATATGAGCCACAGAGAGTGTATCTTGCACTCACCTAAGCCCCTGCCCCTCTCGATCTCGGCGTTTTCAGCCAATACGCCACGAAACTCTGGAACACTCTTCCTCTAGAGGGTTAAAATGCCCTCCCATTTGCTAATTCTCTCTGTACTGTGAGGGGGTGTGTTCAGTGCTTGCCTGTGGTGAGTGTGAGTCTCAGTGTCTGTGTGTGTGTGTGTGTCACTCTCTCTCCCCCTGCCCAGGTATCATCCTAGACCTGCTACACCTGAGGAAACCAGGTGGGTTTGACATCTCCATCTTTTACCGGGATATCATCAACACGGCAGACGGGGAAGACCTGAGCTTGCGGTTCGAAGAGTCGGGCAAGGTGGATGACTTGCTGCGTAAAGTCCGGGCCAAGGACTTCAAGAAGAAAGCAATGAGCAGGTCAGCCTGAATTTGCGGCGGTTTAAACCGCTGTTTTTTTATTTTTTTGATGAGCAAAGACCTCGTTAAAAATGAAACTTCATTTTGCGGAGTCCTGCAGTGGTTAGAGCACTCGCCTCGCACGCTGAGAGGATCTGGGTTCGATTCCCGGCTGGGCGAAATATTGGGCAAGCTTCCTTACTAGCAGTAAGTAGGAAGCCGGATGTTGTTCGGATTGGCGGATCGCTTTTATCCGGGGATAAAAATCCCTCAAAAAAAACCCAATAATAATTTGGTCACTGAATCCACGACTGTGGGACGCTGCTGTGCGCAATTGGCTGCTGCGTTTTGCCCACAAATACACAGTCAGTTCATTTTACCGTATATCCTGTGAAGCGCTTTGAGACGTCTAGAAGACGTGATAAAGAGCTATATCAAATGCAAGGATTATTATTATTATTTTTATTATTATTATTATTATCTGTCTGCTCAGCTCCACAAAACCTCGCAAGTGTCTCTCAAAGCCATGAGTTGATGAGTCGAGGACAAGGACTCTGGTACGGAAGGAAGTGCGTTCAATTTAGTTCTTTGTTTCTCTTTCCCCCTCTCCCCCGGCCCGGACGCTGTTCAGGCTGAACCTGAAGCTCGGGGATGGCTTGGAGCTGTCAGTGGGAGTGTTCCTCCTGATCCGCAGTGTCACCAAGCCCTGGGCCGTCCGCCTCTCCCGAGAGAGCAACGAGCAGGTCAAAACCAAGACTCGCTGGTTCAACAGGGAGACGGGGAGCCTGCTGCTGCCCAGCAACACCAAGAGAGCTCAGGTACTCAGGCCACGGCAGCCGCGCTCAAACACCGACTCACGTGGGACTCCACAAAGTACCACTGCTCGCCTCGCAAGCGAGAGGACCCTGGTCGATTCCCGACAGGGCGAAAGATTAGGCAAGTTTCCTTACTCCACACACAAACACACACACACACACACGCGCACATGCATGTGTTTCCCAGTAGGAACCCGGTTGTTAGTTGCTTCCCCGGGACTAATAATCCCTCCAAATAAAATGTGGTCACTCGACTGACCCACGACTGTTTGTGCGGACGCCGCTGTGCGCAGTTGGCTGCCGCATTTCGCCCACGAAATATACAGCCACCGCACTTTCGAGTGCATCCTGCGAAGCGCTTTGAGACGTCTCGAAGACGTGAGAAGGCGCCGTATCAGTGTATTATCGTGGTTGATAATCCTTGCATTTGGTGTTTGCTAACGGGCACCGCCTACCTCCCCCTCGCCCTCCAACTCAGCTCCGTCCGTCGAGGCGCTGCCCCTCGTGAAAGGCGCTGTGTAATCAAGTTGTCGTTTTCGTTGGCGCCGAACACAGATATATGGAAGCCGCCAGATCACTATGGAGAAAGAAGAAACGGAAGAGCTGAGGAAGTTTGACGAGCCTGGCTTGCAGCTGGTGGGGTTTAAGCCCCTGTCCCTCCTGAAGAGACATCACCACATCAGGCCAGCTCAGTTCATGTACCCCGAGGAGTCGATCATCACAGGTCACTGTCAGCGGCGTTCAGCCCTGTACCTGGGCCGCACGGGGCAGTCAGCACCTCTCCGGGGTGTGGTGGGGGGGGGGGGGGGGCAGGGGGTGGAGAGCGGGGCCCGTTGTGTCTGCAGCGAGAGAGTGCCACCGTGTGTGTCCATAAAGCTGTGTGTGTTTGTGCGCAGATAGTGCGCGTATGTGTGTAGAGACTCTGTATCTGTGTGTGTATATAAATAACTGTGTGTATCTGTGCAGAGATTGTGTGTGTGTAGAGACTCTGTCTGGGTGCGTACAAGACCGTTCGTGGGCGCATAGTCAGACTGTGTGAGGATAGATTGCGTGTGTGTACAGAGACTACGGTTCCGCGTGTGTGTACAGAGACTGCATGTACGTGTGTATGTGTATACAAGCGTTCCGGGACGCTATCCCGTGTGAAGGCACTATACAAATCCAAGTTGTTGTTACAGAGACTGTGTGTGTGTGTGAGTGTCTGGGGTGGGTGTTGCTGTTTTACTGCAGTACTAGCTCAGGGTGATGTTTACAAGGCGTTGAACAGCCGCAGGCGTGAACCGTGGTCCGTGTCCGTTAACAGGAAGTACAATACTGTTCGGGGCTTTACTTACCAAGTGCCTGGACAGGGAGGTGTACATGCTGTGTCGCTACACAAACCGCAGGAACACCCCTCCACGATTCGTGGCCTTAGTCCCTCAGCGAGAGGAGGTGGACGAACAGAAGATACAGACGATGCCGTCAGGTGAGCGACCTGCACCTATTTTTTTTTTCCTGCTCGGCCGGGTGTCTTGACGCCGCACGCGGTAAACCCATCGCCCACAAGACACACAGTCAACTCACTTTGCCAATACATTCTGTGAGGCTTCTCGGCGACGGGTTAAGGCGCTACATCAAATGCAAGGATTATTGTTGTTGTTGTTGTTGTAAGAGTCTCCAAACCAAGCTTGAGATTTTCACGCATCCCCCCCCAACACATGGAGATTCCAGAGCTAGGTTGTTGGAATGGAACGCTCTCTCTCTCTCTCTCTCTCTCCCTCTCTCTCTCTTTCTCCCTGGAGGGTCGCTTCCTGCTTACCTAACCCCAGAAAGTGTAGAGGCTGTGCTTGTCCCCTGATGCCCTCCATTCCACCATCGATGGCCGTGCTTTCAGCCACTACACCCCGAAACTCCGGAACACTCTCCCTTCTGTCCCTCCGCCCTGCCCCTTCCTTCCCCGTTTTCAGGTCGTGCCTGCAGACCTTCCTGTCCGACACTGCCCTGGCGCGAGGTGCACGGTGTAAATGCAAATTGTTGTTGCGTTGAACACGAGATGCAGGGGGTGTCGATGTGCAGTCGGGGCACAGTTTCGGAGTGACTAATGTTTTTGTGGCTCTCTCGCTGGGCCAGGGTTCCACCTGGTTTTCCTGCCATTTGCCGATGATATCAGGAAGGTGAACTACCCGGAGAAGGTCGTGGCAAATCAGGATCAGGTCGATAAGGTGAAAGCGGTGATACACAAACTCCGCTTCAAATACAGGTAACTCCCAGCCCAGGACCCGGGCAGAGAGACAGGGGGAGAGCAGAGAGACAGAGCGGATACGAGCACAGAGATTGGAGAGGGCAGGGGGAAAAGTGGGCTGGAGAGAGACAGAGGGGACTGGGAGGTGAAGAGAGGGAGAGTGGATGGGTGGGATAGAGAGACAGAGGGGAGGTGAGGGAAAGAGGGAGGACGAGGTGGTGGGGAGAGAGAGAAGACAGAGAGAGAGAT